AATAGCCCCTAACGTCGTTTAAACCGAACTTGGCATGCTTTTTATTTGTACGTTTCTGTTTTAAAACATTAATGAAAAAGTTGGTCAAGTAGGCCAACTTCGGTAAAAAACTACAATACCTCACTCAAAACATTGTTTTTCAAACATTATTTTGGTAGGACATCGTAATTAAAAAAAAGTTTTATAAAAGTTGATACACAGTAAAGCTAGTTTGTGCAGTTAGTTTCAAATAATGTACTTAAAACTAACCACACCAATAACTTTGTCTTCAACACCTGTCGATTATTTTGACAATTTGTAGTTTACTCTTTTTTTTCTTATATACACACAATAATCTATCAAAGCCAAATTTCCATTTCAAGTCTCTAAGTGACTAGAAGTGGCCTAGGTTTTTGATGAGAGAATAAATTAGCTAGTGAGTGATAAAAATGGCACCGTTAGAAATTAGACTTTAATACTTGTAATAGGTTATTTTCACGACATTTGAGATTTTGGATATTCAAGGGAGCCTTTTTAAATATGCAAAATGGTTGGTGTTAATATATACATTTCTGGTGTGTCGCCCTTTCTTTTCCGAACTTAGCTGATACACTGCCGTGAGTCTTGATGCCAAAGAAAATACATATATACAAATACATACAAAGTTATACATTATATTTGTAACAAGCACTGAGATCATCAGCTGTCAAAGAGCAGTAACTACAATCTATAGTGTGTTTGTTATTTGTCACCTGAGCTAGTGCTGTCACCAGCAACGCGGCACCAACTAGACAACATAACGTCGACCACATGATTTTCAATTTGGCGTCCCACAGGTTTATCACAATATTCACTACGGTTGGCGGTTAAAGGCGGTCGTTAGCGCGTCATGGCGGGCTGTCGTCGTGCGAGACAGAGCAACACTGGCCAGTGGCAACCGGCCTCAGCACGCTGAGCTATGAGAATCGAGAACTGAACAACAAATTCAACTTTCCGCGGTCGGGTGCGTCCACAATCGCGTACTGTTTAATTTAGTTATTTCTGTATTTGTCTGCCCATGTTCTTGAATTAAAATAAAAATTCTGCCTCATTTTGTTTTTAGTTTTATTTTGATATAAAATCTATATTTATTGATACGTATACAAGTAGACAACATTATTGTATTAATTTAATTTTCGTATAAGTTTCATTCTTAGAATGAATGCATAAGAAATTAAAAAAATGTGTTTGATAGCGGCGTAGGAAGATACATCGCGATGGGTACTAACAATAAAGGTGTAAGACATCTGGTACAGGTACTGCGGTCGCTAATCTGCCTGCCTAGCGAATAAAGATTATGGCAAATACTTCCCTTTTTATAAAAATAACGGTAAAGTTCATCATCATCATTATCTGTTTATAATCAATCGTTTAAAGGCGGGCTTTTGCTAATTAAGAAAAAATATTTTTGTTTAGTAATCAATAATCATGTACTGTCTGTGCTAGGTATATCTGTCATGACTTAAAATTCATGTGTTGTAGATGTAATATCTATGATAAATGTGGGACATCGATAAAATAATAAATATTGCTAAACTCGAGTGTGAACGAGTTTCGTTTCGTCTACGCAATGTTGCGTCGGCGGGCTGTATGGGTTGTCATTACGACACACACCTACACGCCTGCCTCTTGACTACACGCGCACACGTAACAGCCAGGTATGGCACCCGATGATCTTTCCGAGTCTCCTCTACTTTTTTTCGCTCGTATACATACAAACTATTCTGGGCTAAGTATTCCCTCGGTGTATATAAAGATGGTATTCTCTTTTTCTTGGAAACTTACACAACCTGTAATGCTGCATACCTACTCACAGAAAATAAACATTAAATTATACTTAACACAAATTTTAATAAAACAATGAAGTTTTCATAAAATGGTATATTATAGCACAAAAAACATTATTTGAAATTACTAGTATCTTAATAAGTGTTCTTTTCTGAAGATAATACAAAAGAATTCAACGCGCTTAGAGATTAGAGTCACAGGTTAAAAACTTGACATGAATCAACTAGGTATGCCTTAAACTTACAGCAATCATTAAAATTAAAAAAATATGTTCAACAATGAATATATTTTTTTAATTTTAATGATTACCGTATCCAAGATATAAACGAAAGTGAGCCGTTACTTTATAAAATTTGTTGATTTTGTTTTTTGTGTCTTTTTCAAACTATTAGTTCATCGACTCTCTTGGGAGTGGCGTTAGTATATACATATTATCTTTTATAATTTTATGTCATTATGCGGACTTGTTGATTAAAAATATTTCGAAGACATGTGAAATTCGCGAAGACGCATTGAGGCAGAGCGGCGGGCACTTCCTTGCTCTAAAACCCTCTCAGAAATGAGAGGTCTGTGCCCAGCAGTGTGACGTATATAGGCTGTAACTTTAACTTTTATGCGGACTTAATTTCTATTAAAATTAATATGGTGTTGAATAATGAAGAAGTTACTCTTGTTTATAATACGTTTAACTTTCATTCATCATCATTACAGCCCTTCACAAGTCCACTGCTGAACATAGGCCGATGTTCAGCAGTTTAACTTTAGGCTTGTAATATTAAAAATAATATGATGCCTTAGTACTCAGAGGTGACTGGGCACCTATAGTTTTTTTTAATGTAGTTCATTTGCCTGTCTATAGGTTGCAGCAATCACTAACTATGATGTGGACTGTATAGTGAACTTTTTTTAGCTATTGTTTGTTTATAAGCTAGAGCTTGATTACTATGTTACTTGTTGGTTGGTGAAGATGAAGTCAAACAGACAGTCAGTCAATAATAAAGTGCACTAGGTTAGCTTAGCAAAAGCTTATTTAAGCCTTGAAGGCACCCACATTTTATTCAAACGGTAAGACAGTTTACTAGCACTGCATTCTATTGCTGTACGCAATACGAGTGGCACAGGAAACTGTTTAATTTGAATGCGTGATATGTTGATAGAAAAAGAGTGGAGAACTGCCGAGAAACTGCACGATGATGGAAGAGGAATGATGAATTATCACTTTTCTGGGCACAGACACATTAGTCAGGTTTTGGGCAACATAGGAGATAACTAAGTTGCACAAGCCAGTCAATATCATTTAGTTTTTTCTAATAGTGAAAAGGATTGGACAAAGCTACTGTTATTTACCATCCATTACTTACTTACATGAATATCTATTACCATTTACTATCAAGTTGGAGGAGAAAAGGAAGAGGTAGTAGTTATGGTTTATCTAATAATTTATTAAAAATCCAGGGTTTGTGGTCAAGCACCAGGTCAAGTACCTAAATAAAAAAATGAAAACTTTGACTTTCCAGCTTGGGCACAATGATATCACAGAACAGTTGTCACTTTTTAAACCATTAGGACTAGATTGAGTTCACTTTCTATGAGGTCACATATAGAAGAAAGAGTTTATCAGAAAGATTCCGTAGTCTTTCATAAAGCGATTTTTCTCCAAATCAAAGAATTTGCAGGATGCCTATTTAGCGATTTCTAATGATGCGGTAAAACAATCTTGGCATCGTAATGCTTATAATATTTTAAAAATAGCACTTCGTTTACCCTTACGCGTCATTTTACAGTACATAAAGTGCATGAAAAATTCTGTTGTAAAAAATGCTGGTTTAACTACTCACGAAAGTTGTTTAACTTATACTTATCCTAAGTGATCGAAGGTTAGTAATATAGACTGGTTTTACAAGTACACTCGTATGTATGAAAACAAAACTCCTTGAATATAGGGATAGGGAGCGTGGTGTGGTGATGTGGGGTGTTTGTTTTGCGGTGTGTTTTATGATAGTCCATCACCCCAATTTGTCCCAGTAAAAGTCTTCAATTTGTTCCAGTAAATGACTTCATGGCCTTCAATAGATGATATTATTATTAATAATAATAAGTGAACGTTTATTTAGAATTCTCTTAATAATATTATCATATAATTTCTTAACACAACATATTCTGTTATTAAATATACATAAAAAAATAAAAAAGGTTTATGCTAGTATAATAATAATAATAATAATAATATATCGAGCTCGCTCTGAAATACGGTCTCGTGGACCGGAAATTGCCGTATTACAAGTACTTGCCGGAAGCCGTGCTCGAAAATGACCGCGCCGGGCTCTACTGGGACCGGGCCATCATCACAGACAGGACTATTCTTGCGAATAAGCCTGATATTGTGCTGATGGACCGGGCACAGTCAAGGATATTTTTGGTCTATATTACCATCCCGTATGACGAGAACCTCGTGAAAGCCGAAACAGATAAGCAATTAAAGTATCTGGACCTGGCTCACGAGGTGACCGACATGTGGGGTGGTATGCCGACCGAAATTATTCCTGTAGTCGTCTCTGCGAATGGGCTAATCCCAGTTAGCCTCTCTGATCATCTGAAGGCGACTGGGACTCCGTGACGGACCGCTCCGGGCTCAAATGCAGAAGGCGGTGCTCCTTGATACTGCCCGCATCGTCCGCCGGTTTCTTTCCCTTTCCCCCTAACCCTTGGCCGTTTGGTCTCCCCTGCCGAGGGCTTCCATCTGGTTGGGCTTTTATTTATTTATGTATTTTTGTATTTATTTTATTTTATTGATATTTATGTATATTTATCTTTTCATTTTCATTTATAATTATATATTTATACATCCCAACCAGATGAGAAAACTATATAGATACCCCACATAATAATAATGTTTATTCAGACTTTGTCCATAAAGATGTTAGTCGAACAATAATATGTTAGATCATTTCGTATGTGTCATACGTATATTATATAGACCAACGACGGGGAGCATCATCAAAGGCGTGAAATGTCTGCGACCGTCAACTTGTTTATCTTTATATAGTTTTAAGTATATTAAAAAACGCTTAGAAATGGCTGAGATAATGACTTTAGGCGTTCTTTGTCAGTCAATCCTGGACGTAGTGGATTAACGTGATAGCTGTGTGTTACAATTTGCCTGCAAATGAAAGAAAATTCTTTCTATAAAAAGCATGCCTATTTCCGACAGTGAACCGTTACGAGCTAATAAAAAATTAGAAGAAAGGAGTAAGCTAATCAGTTTCCGTTCAAATTTGGTTTCATATTAATTAATTTAATATAGAAAGCAATTTGAAAAAATCAGTCGAACGATTATCGACCGAAGATCAATTTATACTTATAATCATATATTGGGAGGCGTATACACTCAATTAAACAGTCGATCCCAGACTGTTATTTATGTAATTGCGCCGTTAAAATGACTTACTTTTTTCTTTTTTATATATTACTAGCTGGTGCAGGTACCTGGCGTACCGCAGAAGAAAAAATTTTGGAAATATCGTTTTAAATTTAGAGGATTTACATTGTTTTGTAAAGATTGATAATACAAAAACTGAAGTTGAATGAGAAAATAACATAACTTTCAAACAAATTTGTCGACACAATACGCGCGCTACCTACTGTAATTTAATTGTACTATATCTATAACCTTTGTGCAAGTGCCAGCAATAAGTTGACAAAGTTTTACCCATAGAATACTATACACAACAGAATGGTTGTCAACTTTATTTTATACTGATTGGCGTCGCCAAACCCGATTCGCTGTGTTGACAGACTGAGTAAATTTACACATTTTAGATTTTTGATTAATGTTCAAAATCATCATTAAATTTTAATACCACTCCCCCGTTCTATTATGTAAGTATTATAGTATTCTATGGTTTTACCGTAATCTGATGAGCGATATGGCAGCGCATTAAATACGGACAAACAAACATTAATTTATATATATTCAGCGATTTCTTTCTTATTTATTCAGTTATAAATATTAAGCATAATTGATTACGTCAGAATAGAACAGAATAGAATGGAATAATTTTTTATTCAATATAGATTACATGTTATTCTTATTGAAAGTAATTTTTTTACTTTTCCGTTGGTTTGGAAAAAAACTACTGTCCCGAAAAACCAGCAAGAAATCCAGCGGGACTTTTTTGAAGTAAATTATACAATATAAGAGATAGTACAATCTGTTTACAAAATTTATTTTGGAAATATTTTGGAAACACCTCATTCCCAGGGGTTATTATCAACCATGTATTCATTTATATTATAATAACCTTTTTATACATTTTTCATTTAATAAAATATTTAAACTTGATAACCTTGTATATTTTCTGGTTTTTTGTTGTAATAGCGTATTCATTGCCCCAAGAATTAATTACTTACTCTGTGGAGTCGAGAAACTAGCTTGTGTTTGTTCCTAGTGTTTAAAGAGTAACTTTTTTTTACTAAAATACTTTTGTGTTTTTGTGAATATAAATGAAATTTGCGTAAATATTTTTTTCATTTCTTAAATAAATTCTCTGAGATATTCTCCCGGATTTAGATTGTAAATAGCTCTTATGGCCCTCTTCTAAACAAAAATAGTTTCTAAATCAGCCGCAGTTCCCCATAGCAAAATCCCCTAACAGATTATGCTATGGGAATTACTAAAATAAACTAACCTAGCTGTCTAAGCACTAGTGAGACTTTAACCTTATTATCTTTGATCTTGTTTTTACTTTAATTTTTTTACACTGAAGTCTTGCGTCGAGAGTTAAATGTAGATTGATAAGTTTAAAAATCAAAGAAGTGTCATCAGCAAATAATACCTTATCATGATTATCTCCTAAAAGGGAAGGTAAATTATTAATATAGACTAGAAATAGGAATGGTTCGAGAATTGAGCTTTGAGGGACACCCATTAGGACAGGTGACTCGGACGAACTTTTACCATTGATAATAACTTTCTGCGTTCTATTACTTAAATATGAAATAATAAGCTTAAGCGCTATGTTCTTTCACCAAAGTACTATAGCTTCCCGATTAATATCTTCACCATGAGATACACTTTACACCGTCGAATTCGAATTCGAAGCCTTGGAAAGGCACAAAGTATCCTCTGAATTCTCCCATGTACAAAAAATACTCCGGCGTCATTTGTCGAGCGACCCCTTGTAAAACCAAATTGATCTAAGATGATTCTTTTGAAATTTTTTACTAAGTGATGATAGTGCAGAAATTGGTTTAAAATCTGCGGGGTCTAACGTACTACCAGATTTAAATAAAAATATAACTTTACTATGTTTTATTAAAACAAGAAACACATCAGATTCGATGCTTGTATTAAAAATATTGGCTAGATAAGGTGATATTGCATCTGCTATTATATCCATTATAACACGCATATATTATAGACGCAATAACTTTAACGGAAATCCCCAATAAGTCTGCCGTTTTTTTAACTCAATAGTTTTAAAATATTTAACGACATCTTTTGGCAATACTCTATGGAATTTAAAAGTATTTGAACAAGCCTTTACATTTTGTATAAGCAATGATTCGGCGATAGTAGGAGAATAATTTAAAGATTTTGTTGTCAAAAAAGGAACGTCAGTAAAATTTTTCTCAAAAGCCATAGTAATTTTTTGACTAGATTGGGTCGAATTATTGTTAATATTCAATTGAAAATCCGAGTTATGTGGTTTGAACTTACCCGTTTCACTATTAGTGATACTCCACGTCATTCTAAATGTAAAGTCTTAGCTGTGGAGCACACTTTCTTAAATATTTTGAATATTTATGAATATTTCTTTAATACACTATATTTAACACTATGATTAATATAATATATCATCATCATCATCATGATTCCCCCTTCACAAGTCCACTGCTGAACATAGGCCTCCCCCAAGTAATGCCACAAAGCACGGTCTTCAGCCACCTGCGTCCATCGACTTTCTGCATGTCTTACCAGGTCGTCACTCTATCTAGTAGGGGGTAGCTCTACACTAAGCCTACCGGTACGAGGCTGTCACTCGAGAACCTTTCTTCCCCATCGGTTATCGGTTCTTCGAGCTATATGGCCGGCCTATTGCCACTTCAGCTTACTAATCCCTTGGACTATGTCGGTCACTCTGGTTCTACTGCGGATAAGCTCATTTTTGAGTTTATTACGCAGAGAAATCCCTAGCATAGCCCTCTGCATACCTCGCTGAGCGATCTTGAACGTCCTCATACGGCCAGCAGTAAAGGACCACGTCTCAGATCCGCAAGTCATCACTGGCAACACACACTGGTTGTACAATCTAGTTTTCAGAGTTTGAGGTATACCTGACGAGAAGATATGTCGTAATTTCCCGAACGCTGCCCAGCCGAGCTGAATCCGTCGATTGACCTCTCGGTCGAAGTTGGACTTACCTAGACGGACTATTTATCCCAGGTAAACATACTCGAGCATAGTGCTCCCAACAACTACCGGCATGGGTGTGACATGGACATTAAACATGATCTTTGTTTTGTCCATGTTCATCTTAAGACCTATCCGTTGGGAGACACCATTGAGGTCATTGAGCATAGTGCTTAAATCCTCCAGCGATTCTGCCATAAGGACTTTATCTTCGGCAAATCGAAGGCGAGTGATCTACTCGCCATTGATGTTAATACCGTATCCCTTCCAGTCCAGCAGCTTGAAAACGTCTTCCAATGCAGAGTTGAAGAGTTTCGGGGATATAACATCACCCTGTCTTACACCTCTCTACAGTCGGATAGGTTTTGAACTCTGGTTCTGTACTCAGATAGCCATTGTAGCCCTACTGTACAGACACTTCAGCACTTCGATATACCGACGGTCAACTTGGCACCGCTGAAAGGGCTGTAGCACCGCCCAAATTTCAACGGAATCAAAGGCTTTTTCATAGTCCACATACGCCAGGCAAGGTGGCAGATTGTACTCTTCGACCTTCTATACAATCTGCCGCAGGGTATGTATTTGGTCTATGGTATTGAAGCTTTTTCGGAAACCGGCTTGTTCGGGAGGCTGGAAGTCGTCGAGTCTGCGTGCGAGACGATTCGTAATGCCTCTCGAAAACAGCACGTAGACGCGGCTCAGAAGGGAAATCGGTCTGTAGTTCCTCAAGAGAGCATTGTCGCCTTTCTTGAAGAACAAGACCACCGCACTTCTGTTCCACGCCTCCAGAGTAGTGCCACCATGGAGGACGGAATTGAAGAGCCTCTGAAGGACTTTAAGTACCGGTGTTCCACCCGCTGTCAGAAGCTCCGCTGTAATTCCATCCTCGCCTGGGGCCCTGCCGTTTTCAAGGTGCTGGAGAGCCATTCTAATCTCACTCAGACTGACGTCCGGGATATCATCGGAATAGTATCGGATAAGACTTGCTCTTGGATCGTTACTTACACTTTCGTGTGGCTCCAACGATGATGTGTACAGCTGCCCGTAGAACCTCTCAATCTCACTCAAAATCTCAGGTGTCCCGGAAACGATGCTGCCACACTCATTTATATAATGGAACAAGTTTCAATAAGATTGACGTTAAAGTTTCGACATATTACAACAGTTCTGTTTTCTAAGTTTGAGCAAAACTTTATCCAAAATCTTTTCAAAATTGTCGTAAGTAGCACATGGGGGTCTGTTTACAACAATGAGGTGCTCGAGCTAGACACAAGCCATTTCTAGATTTCGTTCAACGGAGAAGCTCACAATATCCTTATGATCTTTATATAATAATGTTGTATCTGCTAATATTAAAGAACCATCACATAATGTTTTTCTCTATTAAAGGTACTGACCATTAGAATACCTAGTCACTAGATGAAACTAAAGAAAACCTGTAAATTGATACCGACTGCATCGACTATCGACCAAATAATTTAATTGTCATGAAATCGCAGGCACACGACTCAACCAAATAGTTTGATCGATTCAATAAACGTATGTATGGTGTAAGTCTTAAACACACATCTCATGATAAACCAAGAGCAGCATGACCTACAGAGTGATCGATAGTACTGATTTCGGCGAAATCGGTGGACTCAGGACTTTCTAACGTATGCAACTCACATATGGAGCTAGGCCCTCGACAACAGTGCGGAATGAATAACTTGCTGCTTTCCTTGGGGTTTCGAAGGTTAGCTTCGCTTATCCCCAGGTTTGATAGCTAGAGATCGCAAGTCATCGACGAGAGTGACGAGCAGCGTTCGAGCCTATACCAACTAACGACGGGTTTTTT